CGCCCCCAGCCCGCCGCGGCGCGCGGGTCGCAGCAGCACGGCGTAGCGCAGCGGCCGGCACACGGCGCAGAAGCGGTCGTAGGCCATGGCGGCCAGCAGCACGCACTCGGCGCCGCCCAGCGCCAGGAACAGGAAGAGCTGCGCGGCGCAGCCCGCCCAGCTGATGGCGCGGGCCCGGCCGCGCAGGTGCACCAGCAGCTGCGGGATGGCGCTGCTGGTGAAGCCCAGGTCCAGGAGCGACAGGTTGGTGAGGAAGAAGTACATGGGCGTGTGCAGGCGGGAGTCCAGGCGCGACACCAGCACGATGAGGAGGTTGCCCACGAGGGCCGCCAGGTAGGAGATGAGCACGAACACGAAGAGCGGCCGCTCCAAGTCCGGCCTGTCCGAGAAGCCCAGGAGGATGAAGTGCCCTTGGCAGCTGCGGTTGGCCATGGGCGCGTGCGGGAAGCTGGGAGCCGCTGCAGGCTTGAGGCAGCAGCAGGGATTCCCAGAGGCAGGGTCACATCAGGAGTCTCGCACGGGAGCCCCTGGAGCTCCAGGGTTCTGCACTTGACGACGGGTTCCGGAGACCTGCCTGTGCTGGGTGGACGGAAGGAGCAGGGAAAGCATCAACCTCCGGGGGACGCGGCCACACCACCTCCCTCCTCCGTGCGCCAGGCCTTTGGGCACTCATGCAAATGTGCCAGAGGCGGTTTTCAAGCCCACATCCAGGACTTGAACCACAGCCAGCCATGTGGGATCCAGCACCTTAACCACCAGGCCACCTGGATGGCCCCCAAACCTATTTCTTTTTACTGGCTTCTTTTATTTGCTTTGAATTTCAAATTCTGCCAAAAATAACTGTTAATGTCTGTGTACTCTCCCTAGAGCCATGGGTCACTCACCTGGCATTTCCCTCATTGGCTGCAGTCCTGCTTCACCAGGCTCTGACAGCTGCCTGGTCCCCGTGACCTCGCCTGGCTCCCAGTGACCTCACCTGGCTCCCCAAGACCTCGCCTGGCTCCCCGTGACTTCGCCTGGCTCCCCGAGACCTCGCCTGGCTCCCCGTGACCTCGCCTGGCTCCCGGTGACCTACACCGTCGCCTGGCTCCCTGTGACTTCGCCTGGCTCCCCGAGACCTCGCCTGGCTCCCCGTGACTTCGCCTGGCTCCCTGAGACCTCGCCTGGCCACCTTTTTAAAACATCAAGTTTTAAAAAGATACAAATTCTAAAAACAACCTTGATTTACCTCACCGTGTCACAGTTTTGCTCCCCAAGGGAGCCCAGGCCCACCGCGTCTGACTTTCGGGGTGGGTGGGGAGCCAGCCTGGGCCTCCCTCAGCCTCCAAGCAGCAGAGGCTACCAGTGACAGTCACCATGGCCAGGCCTGGACATCTGAATGTGCTGACAAAGGCTACTGCATTTCTTTGAAAACATCATATTCTCTTTTTCTCCAAGAAAGGACTAATTGTGAAATAAAAAAATCCAGGTATATCAGTTTTTCATATATTTCAAACTGATGTATCAACTCAAAATCATAGATGTAGACTTCATAAAAACTTCTTCATAGGCCAGCAGCTGGCATTGTGGCTAAGGTGCTGGACTCCCACATGGCTGACTTCAGCCTGGCTCCCCGTGACTTCGCCTGGCTCCCTGAGACCTCGCCTGGCCACCTTTTTAAAACATCAAGTTTTAAAAAGATACAAATTCTAAAAACAACCTTGATTTACCTCACCGTGTCACAGTTTTGCTCCCCAAGGGAGCCCAGGCCCACCGCGTCTGACTTTCGGGGTGGGTGGGGAGCCAGCCTGGGCCTCCCTCAGCCTCCAAGCAGCAGAGGCTACCAGTGACAGTCACCATGGCCAGGCCTGGACATCTGAATGTGCTGACAAAGGCTACTGCATTTCTTTGAAAACATCATATTCTCTTTTTCTCCAAGAAAGGACTAATTGTGAAATAAAAAAATCCAGGTATATCAGTTTTTCATATATTTCAAACTGATGTATCAACTCAAAATCATAGATGTAGACTTCATAAAAACTTCTTCATAGGCCAGCAGCTGGCATTGTGGCTAAGGTGCTGGACTCCCACATGGCTGACTTCAGTTCAAGTCCTGGGTCTGGCAGCTTGAAACTGATGCTGGGTGCTTGTGCGTGTGCACCCACATTCCAGGAGTAGAATGGAGGAGAAGGGGTTACTGTGGTGTGGTGGCACCCCGGGGGTGATTTCTCACTGTTGCTCTCACTGTCTCTCCCTTTCTCTTGCCAGCACATGCCCTGTGGCAAAAAGCTAAAAACAAACAAACAAACAAAACCCACCTCACACTAGAAAAATCTCACAATCCTGTCAGTCCTTGGGGATCAGAGCTCCTTGAGAGCGTTATGTGATTGAAGAAGTGAGCTCTAGTTTCCTCAGATGCGTCAAAGGCGCTCACTCCCAAGGTCGGATCGTGTAAAACACTCGCAGCTCAGTCCCTAACCTGCCTTGGACAGGACACTGCTCCACCCTCCACTGTGGGTGCTCCAGGCTGTGCATGGAGCGGGTGTGTCAGGAGGCCGGCGTGGCCTCTGTGGCCGTCGGGGTTGAAGACCCACCTGGGCCTCCCCAGGCCGGCGAGACGCTGCAGCTCCAGAATCACCTCTCCCCACGGCCAGAGCGGTCCTGGCTTTCAC